AACATAAAAAACAAAATAAAACCACAACCCAAAAAAAGAAAAAAGAAAAAAAGGAGGAAAGACAGTATTTATAATGCATAAGTTCTCTCAGATGAAGATTTGCATGTAACTCTCAAATTAAATTTATGGCTAATAGTTTTGCATGTATTCATATCGTACATGGAGGATACTGGACATTGTCTTTTAAAAAATTGGAGGATATAAGACAAGTCAACAGCTTTGGGCCATGTTTGGATTATGGACTTGTTTTATTCCGGGATTAATTTAACTCACTATAGTCCTGGGATATAATAATCCAGCGGGGTATAGTGAATTAAATTTTTAATAACTTGTTTGGTTTAATTTGTTATTAACAGCTCTAATACCTATATCATGTTTGGGAGTTTGTGATTATAAGGCATATAGGATTAGAATATATATGAAGTAAATGTCAAAAACGTCCAGCCTATCGGCCAAGTATATAGTAAGTTATGCTGCATTTTCATATGCTTTGTAGCATCAATAATGAATTCAGTTTTAATGCTACCACTGTAACGAAAAATAGAAGCGTCAAGAAATTTCTTTGACAGTAAAAAAGGAAATAAGTAGATCGACGTGTATAATTTGTAAAGCATATGCGGTTGCTGAACATAGCCGTAAGGTAATATTGCTTGTTAGATCTAAGCATAGAGCATGTTTCCATCAAGATAAATCTATAACAAATTCACGATAGTGTTTATTTATAATGGTATCAAACTTCAACCATTAAATTGAAAGCCGTAGCTCTAAGCAAGGAGTGAGTTGTTTATTTTTTTCTTTGTTTCCGGTAGTGAGGGCAATTGAGCAGAAAAAATAATTAGAGATGAAAAATCTTTGTAAGTTAAGGAAAGTGGAAGGATATAAAGTGTCTTTTCCAATCTAATCCCAAGTGAAAAATACTCCCAAAACTATAATAACACTACCCCCATCTTCCACCACTATTTAGTCTCTAATCCTTGGACTAATTCATTTTAATGGGCTAATTTAGTTTTTCTATTTTAAAATTATGTATAGGTATAGTTTATAATCCTATCTGTTAGTCAAAAAGGAGAGGAGGTCCTTCGGTGATCAAAAAGGGGAGGAGGACCTTTAGTAATCAAAAAGGGGAGGAGGACTTTCAGTAGCCGCAATTTTTGAAAGAGGAAGAAAATGACGAGGCCATTTGTCAAATGGCAGGAAGAAAACAAGGGGGTACTCAGGCTATAAAACCCCCACCCCTCTTCCCTTGTTTAACCATCCCTTCAGCTGCTAATATATAATCAAGGCAGTGAGAAAAAATATAGAGAGGCTAAGAGGGTGAGAGAACTCTGTGAGTGAAAAAAAATCCAAGAGAGAAAATTGAGAGTAATTTTCAGAGTGCTTGTAATATTTCTTCCATTAGTGAAAGATCTGCAGCAGCCCGTGGACGTAGGCAATTTTGTGCCGAACCACGTAAATCTTGCGTGTCCCCCAATTTTGCGCATTTTATTTTTCGCTTTCTCTCAAATCTGGCAATAGGGGAATCAGGGTAATTTCCCAACAACTGGTATCAGAGCTCTGGTTGTGATGTCTGTCAAATTTCTGTAAGATTACTATTCACGTGAATAGTAAATTTCGTGAATAGTGGAATTTTGCCGGCGGTACTGACTTGTCGGCAGAGGTGTCTTAATACACGGTGGTTCGTAGAAATTATCAGAAACGATCCAGAGGAAGTCAGATTCGAGTGGGAGCGATGGCTGCAGATGAAGGGAAGGTGAAAATTGAGAAGTTCGATGGTGCGGACTTCGGCTTTTGGAAGATGCAGATCGAAGACTATCTGTACCAGAAGAAGCTGTATCAACCTCTCTCGGGAAAGAAGCCAGATGATATGAAGGATGAAGAGTGGGCTCTCCTCGACAGACAAGCCCTTGGAGTTATCCGATTGACGCTATCCCGCAACGTTGCCTTCAACATAGCAAAGGAAAAGACCACGGCGGGTCTTATGGCGGCTCTCTGCAGCATGTACGAGAAGCCCTCTGCCTCAAACAAAGTTCACTTGATGAGGCGGCTGTTCAATTTGCGAATGACGGAAGGCGCATCGACAGCTCAACATCTCAATGAACTCAACATAGTCACAACCCAGTTGAGTTCAGTTGGGATTGAATTTGATGAAGAAGTACGAGCATTGATACTTCTTTCTTCTCTACCAGAAAGCTGGAACGCTACAGTCACGGCTGTAAGTAGCTCATCGGGAAGCAACAAGTTGAAGTTCGATGATGTTCGTGATCTGGTTCTTAGTGAAGAGATCCGACGGAGAGAATCGGGTGAAGCTTCAACCTCCTCAGCTTTACACACGGAGTCTAGGGGAAGAACTTCAGAAAGAAGTTCAAATCACGGCAGATCAAAATCTAGAAGGAGCAAATCTAGATCAGGAAAGAAAGACTTCAAGTGCTACAATTGTGGCAAGAAGGGTCATTTCAAGAGGGAGTGTCGGGCACCGAAGAAAAACACCGGCGCACAGGAGTCTGCCAACGTGACCGAGGAAGGAGGTGATGCTATGATTCTAAGCGTCAACAGTCCGATTGAATCATGGATTCTTGATTCAGGGACATCCTTCCATTCCACCCCATGCCGAGAAATCATGGAGAACTACGTCAGCGGTGATTTCGGAAAGGTACATCTAGCAGATGATGAAACCTTGAAGATTGTTGGCAAGGGAGACATTCGATTAAAATTGCCAAATCAGACCACATGGAAGCTGCAAGGAGTGAGACATATTCCTGGTCTTAGAAGAAATTTGATCTCTGTGGGACAGCTTGATGGAGAGGGTTATTGTACAACCTTCTCGGGTCATGAATGGAAGATTACCAAAGGAGCACTCGTCATTGCTCGAGGTAAGAAAAGTGGTACTCTCTATATAACCTCTAACTTAGAGAATATCATTGCAGTAACAGATGCAGATGAAAAATCAAACCTATGGCACCAAAGGCTTGGCCATATGAGCGAGAAAGGGATGAAGAAACTTCTGTCAAAAAAGATTACCAAAGGAGCACTCGTCATTGCTCGAGGTAAGAAAAATGGTACTCTCTATATAACCTCTAACTTAGAGAATATCATTGCAGTAACAGATGCAGATGAAAAATCAAACCTATGGCACCAAAGGCTTGGCCATATGAGCGAGAAAGGGATGAAGACACTTCTGTCAAAA